AAGGAAGACGCAGGGGATAGCACGGGCGGAGAGCTTGTCCGCAGACGTATCGCGAACAAAGGCACGAGAACCCCAGACCCGGAACACCGACGCATCGCCAACCTCCTCTGTCCAACGCAGTGTGGGCGAGGTCTCCGGCAAGGAGACACGGGGCCAGAGGTTGAGCTGATGCGCCGCGTACCAGACCGCAAATGGCCACAGAAAATGGGGAGCAGCCGCATGGATCATGGAGGTACGAGCGACCTCCATGACTAAGCCAATGTGGCGCTCAGCAATCCCATTTTGCTGAGGGGAGTCCGAAAGCGTGAACTACTGGAGAATGCCCTCCCCACGACAAAATTCCTGCAAGAGGTTGGAGGAGAACTCGCCACCTCTGTCAGAGTGCAGACGCAAGACAGGAAGGTCCTGGCCAAACCGCTCGCAGAGCTGGAGACGTACCGTGCGGATCCAAGGGATCAAGACATCAACGACTTCACCCTTGCTGCGCAAGGGGAAGACCGTGGTGTACCGCGTGTAGTCGTCAACTACCAGCAGAAAGCACCGCTCGCGGCCTTGTCCACTGACGCGCGCTGGGCCCCACACGTCCATGTGGAGAGTCTGCAGTGGAGCAGTCGTCGGGGGAAACGAGGAGAAGTGAGGAGCGGCGCGCTGCCGCCCCTCGACGCACGGAAGGCAGGGCGGGGCAGGCGAGGGCGGGAGGGGAGGCAGAGACCTAGGTAGGCCAGAGACGAGAAGACGGGAGTGCATGCCACGAAAGCGTGGCAGGGAGGGGTGACCAAGTCGATGGTGCCACAGGAGAGTCTGGTGCGACAGGAGGCGACACGAGCAAGAGGCAGCTACCTGACCTGACGCGGACACCTGAGCAGACGCGGCTACCCGAGGAGGCTCGGTAGCCAGTGTGTACAGACTCGACCCTGGCCGACGAGTGAACATAGCCAGGTGATGCCCTGTTCGTGTGCACGTGCTGATCGACACACGCTGACCCCCAGGAGTGGTGGTAGTGACCACCGCATCCTGGAGGGCAGCGGTATTCACCAAGTCCGTAGAGAACGAGGGGAGGTGAAGACCTGACAGTGAGCCGGACGGAACCGCCGGACACGGGAGGACAGTGGAGGAACGGGCAACGACCGGGCCCCCAGAGGGGTCAGCCAGTCTGACCGGGACAGGTGCAGGGAGAGGAGTGAGAGTGGTGCTGTCACAAAAGAAACAGCGCGAGGCGCCTGAGTCCAACGTGAAGGTGTGCAAGGCCTGAGCAGGCGCAGTACCAGGGAGAGTACCAGACTCACTAGCACCTAGAGCAGCAGCAGCTATACCTGGGTCAGGCGGCACACACCGATAACAGTCACCCTCAGCACTAACAGACAAAGCATACATAGCAAAAAGAATAGCATCAAAGTCTAGGTCAAAGATAGCAATCCTAGACCTAAGCAGATCTGCCCAGCGAGGGAGCTCGACGTCGTCACCAAACTCAGCACGCCAAGCATCGTCGAGGCGGGAGAAGCAGCGGTGCTGAGTGTGAAGCTTCCCGCATGTCTGACCAGCACGAACACCCGTGCGAATGACATACGGGCAGCTATCACTACACCCAGACGTCCCACGCTGAACCAACCACGCACGGAGCTGTTGGGGCGACGGGGTCTCGCTCCGACGCTGCTGCTGCTGCCGCTGGCCACCACTAGGGCCTCCACGCCGAGCGCCAGTCCCACCACCACCAGTCCCACCGCCGCCACCAACACCCCCACCCCCGCCACCACTCCCACCGCTTCCACCATCTCCACTGCCTCCACCACCTCCACTTCTGCCCCCACCACCACTCCCGCTGGTGTATTCACGCCCGGTGCTTCTTCGATTCGATCCATGTCTGCATTTGTTGGGCGGCGCCATACTGGTTGTGGCTAAGTGTTGTCCCACAATGATGAGAGTAGCGAGGAGAAGATCGAGGGTGTTGACCAAAGGAGAAACGGGAATGGTGTTCAATATGAGAAGAGTTACAAGTTATAGCAAGCCAAAGGGTGCACCACCTAACATGACAGTAATAGAACTACACTACAGCTAGAACTACATACAGTTATATAGAAATATATTCTGATATCGTGATGCTGTAGCTGTGCCGGTAGAGATAACGATAGGCGCTTCGAGTGGAGCTTGTGCTGTTTACCGCTGGGACGACTCGCTTTCTGCTGTCAAAGTCGCAATTTCAAGCACGGATTCGTGTAATTGACGAGTGGGCTCGTCAAGACGCCCTTGAGTCAATCAGTCGGGTGTGATGCGTTCGTCCACGCAGAGGGGTGTCGGCGAGAAAAAAACCCAGTGGAGTCTCAGTCGTGGATGGGCGTGCTTACGCGAGAGCAGTCGAGCAGCGGAAACGAAGGTGTGCACGGTCTGAAAAGGATTGTGGCTCTGAATACCAAGTGTTACGAATTCATGGAGGGAAACGAGCGAGGATTGAACAATCGAAGCAACAAGTACAATGAGCGAAGGCATGAGCGAATCGTTGAATGGTGAAATCAAATGATAACGGTAACGAGTGCTTGCAAAGGGTGCCTTGCGGGCCTAGCGCCGAGGGTTGGGAAACGTCGAGGCGTAGGGCAGGGTCTCGGGTTACCAGCCGAGCCGTGTGGTTCGGGCGCGACAGTGGTGGTGGCAGGAACAGTGTCGAGCCGAACGTTTCGAAGGGGTAGCGGGACACTGCTTGGGTGAAAGTGGCGGGAATAATGCTTGTACGCGTTTGAGGTGGTGACGAGAAGTAAGGAAAATTTAGTTCCTTGTCTAGCTACTAAGGCTTCTGCTTTGCAATGCCTCTTCATAAAGTGTACTTGCGGCCACGTGGATCAGCCAAAGATTGTTGGCGATTTCAAGCAAACAACCGAGATTACAGGCATCTGCTATCCAGAAATCTATTGGATGTGCGAGCAGCCCTACAGTACGCTCCAGCATCCAGAGAATAATTCTCACGCACGTCCACTGTCGGGAGAGGCGTAATTCTCGAGGCGCGCTGCAAAACACCGCGGTGCAACACTCATCATTTCGACCCGTCGTCACGCGACACGACGCTGCGTCCAGAGCGAGTGACATGCCACGCCACCTCATGACGATGGAAAGACACGTGTCCCATTTCGACCAACAACTGGCTGCCCGCCTCCTCCTCCTCCTCACCCGTCTCTCCGCCCAAATCAGCTGTTCCCCCCATTGTTTCCCCACTTCGGCTTCCCCTCAAGACGTTCCCCTCCCAAACACCACACCACACCCATCACCACCACAGCCAGTGGAGGCCACCGCAGCACCAAACCCAACATCTCCGTTCAGACCTCTCCGAACCTCTCAGAGCCTTCGTGCCACAGCCGATGATACACCTGTTTTCCTATTAAGACGTCACCCTAACGTCATCAGATCGTAAAATACAATGATGTATAATTTTGTTTTGGTTGTGACATGGCATACCTTCTGTGTTTTTCTCCTTTATGAGAAGTTATTTTATAGTGTTTTACAACATAGCTCACTAGAAATTCACAGATCTTCTTAAAAATATTACAGAAAATAGATGATAATATATTCTACATCATTTTCTAAGTGAATATATGAAGGTGTCTCATTCGACGTCCCAGTTTTCAAGCTAAAATGTTAAATAAAGGCCTCTCTCAGACCAATATGATCAAATACATGTGATTGTTTGGACAAGTCACATATAAGTAAAATTTGTCTAGACATGATCAATTTTTTGTATGTTAGATAGTATAGACCTCATAAATGAGCCTAGAAGACAATTGTGAAAAAAAACAGCAAATAAATACGATTAAAATAGTTATACATAGAATCATTTATTAAACTGACATATCATAAAACATAGAACCAGACTATCATATAATGAATAAATTTGGAAGAAAAGGGCATGTAAGTGCTTGGGGGTATGCCATGTAGGCTACTCCAAATTATGATTCGATACTGGATAACGAGAATCCATGTTAGTTCATATATTGAATATTCCCAGTATTACAGAGATAACAGCTTTATAATAGTGGACTATATAAATTAGAGTAACCTTAAACGAAGTCACATATACATTCAGATACTCTGTCTGGTCAAGTGAGTGGACCCGCCTCCCAGCAAACCTGAAAATAAAGTGGCTGAGAAAAAATGTACTTGGGCTGGGTGCATGAGCTGGTGAAGTGTTGGGTGTAGCGCACTCCACCGCTTCTGCCGCCATTCGTCACGGCTGCTGCCCCCAACCCAACCACCTCCTGTCCCGCAATTCATGGGCTCAACGCGCCCTTTCGTGTGGTTCACGAATCACCACCATCACCACCCCGCCCTCAACTAACCAAAACCCGAAAGTGACATTTTCTGAGGTAGGTCGTGTTCAGATCTCGTTTGTTTCTTCTAAGTGGTCGGGACTGGTTGTGACAAACGACCCTAACAATCTCGGCTCGGCACGAGGGTAGGTGGTTACACAATAGGTCTAGCTGGTCAAGCGGAAATGACTGCTTCGGGTTGGATTTGGCAGCCGAATGACTTTTCTTCAGCATGTAACAAGGCTTCGCAGAAACCTTGGTTCGTTCATAGTTTCAGAAGCTCCCAGTAAACGCGACCTTTTTTTAAAGGTTCTACATGCTTTTCGTGATTCCTCGATTTCTTCGACTGAGCCCCGAGGAGCCCATTTCATTGTTTCTACTCACCAATTTCTGGAGTTCAGGGTTTCCGCGTCTGTTCATTCTCCTGCAAGACATCGGACGTCTCGTTCCTTTGTCGCGAGAGTAGGGAGATCGCTGTCGGGTTTCGGCCATTTCGTAATCCCTGGACGAGATTACACGTCTCTTTCGTGGAAAACGTTAGTGCGGTGCGATTAGTTCAGAGTTCAGTACTCCTTATTTTTCCTTAGGGACATTGCACGGAGCTCGTCACTTGGCACTCCTCTCGTAGGTAGTCACTACCAGAGCCGACTTATTAGTCAGCTTAAACGTCACCTTTATTCAGAAATTAGGTAGATAGCCTCTACTAAAGCCATGGCGGAAGTAGACGTAGCCGGTCTAAGCGCCGGAACCACGCATACCGGCGTGACTGGAGGCGGTAGCGTGCCCACTGCGCGACGGTACTCTCTAGGCATTGTGCAGCCTGGCGGCGCGGGGGGAGATGCCGGCGGCGCGAAGGTTCTGAGCGCAAAGTCGGAGCTTAAAGACGCGCTGACGGCGTTTCAGCAGACGTTCGTCATGTGCGACGCGACGAAGCCCGACAACCCTATCATGTTCGCCAGCGAGGGGTTTTACCAGATGACGGGGTACACGACCCAAGAGACTATCGGCAAGAACTGGTGCGTATCACCTGGGTTACCAATTTATGAAGCGCGGCAAACCTATTGTATTCGCCAGCGAAGGGCTCTATCCGTTGGGTTACGCAGCGCAAGAACTGGTTATTTGTTTTTAAGGCAAATGAAGAACATCACGAGAAGTCTTGACGGTCGAAGCTTGACAACCCTAGTGACAGTCGTCGACGGTATGGCAGATCGCCTATTAAGTCGAGTTCTCGACTGGCAGGCGGCAGCTTGATTGTGTCAGCGCTGGGGTCAATTCGGTTCGCATTGTAAATTGTTATTTGGGTTCTAAGTGGTTTTCCGGCACATTGACCGTGCGTGCGAGGGGCATGGCGTTGCATTCGGATGACTTATGAAGTCCCTCTGTGAGAGGCCACGAAGGGTCTCTCCCTTACGGAGTTCTTATCGGGGGGGTGTCAGAGGTGGCGGAGACAGACAAGGCGGAAGTTGCGAAGCTGCGCTGCGCGCTGCGGTGGTAACAGGCGGGAGCTGATGCGCGCAAATGTTGATGCGCACTTTATTCCCCCCACTTCCTCACTCTTCCCCTTCACCGCTCCTCAAATTTCTCCCTCCCGTCCCCCTTCTCCCTCCCGTCCCCCTTCTCCCCCCCTCTCCTCCCCTCGCGTTTCCCCCGCGCGCTCTCGCACAGTCGTTTCCTCCAAGGCGCGGAGACGGACAAGGCGGAGATTGCGAAGCTGCGCGCGGCAGTGGCGGCGGGGGAGAGCTGGTGCGGCCGGCTGCTCAACTACAAGAAGGACGGGTCGCCCTTCTGGAACCTTCTAACCGTGTCGCCCGTTAAGGACGACAACGGGACGGTCGTTAAGTTTATCGGGTGAGTGGTTGAGAATCATCTGACTGTATCGAGTGTAATTGTGTCAACTATTATCGAGTGTGACTGTATCGAGTCGAGTATTGACGTGGTTGCTCGATTCCGAGAAAATTAAGTCGCCCTTTTGGAGCCTTGTGACCGTGTCGGCCGTCAGGGATATTAAAGGTCGTCTATTCAGTCGAGTCATTGCCCACTTGTCAACATTTATCCGCAAAAAAACAGCATTTGCTTCTAAATATGATCGTTTATCCATAACGACAGCATTTTTTCGTCAATGTCAGCATTTCCGTCAACGTCGGCATTTTTGTCAATGTCAGAATTTCGTCAATGTCAGCATCTCCGTCAATGTCTGCATTTTCGTCAATGTCAACATTTCCGTCAATGTCAGCATTTTCGGATAATTGCTGACATTTGTCGGCACTCATCGTAAATGTCAGCATATACCGCGCAGTCCGTCAATGCCAACATTTAGCAGTTAACCATTCAATGTGCTAACTGCTGATCTATCCCCCTCTCTCCAAACACTCCCTCCCTCCCTTCCCCTCTCCCCCCGTCCCATGCAAGGGGAGGTGACCCATTGCACCAGAAGCAGCAAGTGCATAACTCTCTTATTCCCCTTCTCTGCCCCTGCCTAACTTCCTCACTCCCATTGTCCCTCCCTCCCCCACCTCTCTCCTCCCTTCTCCCCCCCTTTCCCAGGGATAACCAAATACACGGAAGGTGGCAAGAAGAGCATTCAACGTGCAAAACCTTTCTTACTCCCATCGCCTCTGCCCCTGCTTACCCCTCACACTCCCTTTCTCCCTTGCCCCCTCCCTCCCCGCTTCCCCTCCTGCAGCATGCAAGTGGAGGTGACAAAATACACGGAGGGCGCTAAGGACAAGGAGACCCGCCCCAACGCGCTGCCCGTTTCGCTAATTAAATACGACGGTACGATCCGAGTTTGTTTGCTTGTCTCTCAAAGTTCTCCTCCAATAAATTGCTGCAAACTTCCCCTTCGTTGAGGGTAGAAACGAGGTCCCCAACAAACCTAAACCGCCTCTCTGCCTGCAGTCTCTTACCACCCTTTCACCCCCCTTCCCCCGCAGAGTATCTGAGCTGGAGGCGGAACAAAACTTGAGACGTCTCAAAATCGTATCCTTTCAACCCCCTTCCCCGCGCAGTATCTGAGCTGGTGGCTGAAAAAGCCTCCTCTCTCCTCCCTTCGTTGCCCTCTCACATTCCCCTTTTCCCCCCTCTTTTCCCCCAACTCTCGCTCTTCCCCCAACACAGCGCGCCAGAGGGAGGAAGCGGAGAGCACAGTGTCTGAGCTGGTGGCGGAGGTGGGGAACAAGTCGCTGCAGGCGGAAGGGGGGGAGGCGGAGGGCGGAACGCAGCCCCCCAAGGCGGAGGGGGAGGGTTCGGGGGGAGCTGCGGTGGGGGCGGACGGGAAGGGCAGTGAGAGGCGCAAATCAGGGCTCATGTCTCTGCTGTCGTGAGTGGCACCTTTCATTGTAATCCCCTTCCTGAGGCACCTCAAAAGTTAGGGGCGCCTCTCAAATCAGGGCTCATGTCTTTGCTGTCGTGAGTGGCACCTTTCTTTCTTACTCGCCTTTTGAGGCGCCTCAAAAACTGGGCCCATGTCTCTGCTGTCGTGAGTAGCACCTGACTCTTTAACTCGCCTTTCTTTGCATTCACCTGTCTTTGACTCTGCGAGAGATCGTTTTGTACTCTTTGTGCTTCACTCGCAGGAGATGAAACGAACGGCTGCAGAGTCCCATCAAAGGCTGAAAATACGAGAGGAGGAGCTGTTGAGAGCTCATACTCCACTTCCCCTCTGCTCCCCCTCGGCAATGGAGGCGGCGGAGGAGGAGGATGCGGGCGACCACAAGGCGAGGAGGGGGCTCGACTTGTAGAGAGGGTGTTTTTGAGACGTCTCAAAAACACCCTCTCTACACGTGGCTGCCCTCCGCTCCCCCCCTCGGCAATGGAGGCGGGGGAGGAGGAGGATGCTGGGGACCACAAGGCGAGGAGGGGGCTCGACTTGTAGAGAGGGTGTTTTTGAGACGTCTCAAAAACACCCTCTCTACACGTGGCTGCCCTCCGCTCCCCCCCTCGGCAATGGAGGCGGGGGAGGAGGAGGATGCTGGGGACCACAAGGCGAGGAGGGGGCTCGACTTGGCATTCATGCCCCACTTCCCCTCCCCTTTTCCACCCCCTTCCCCCCCTGCCCTCTCCCACCCAATTCCCCCACAAGCACAGCAAGAAGGAGCGTTCGGAGCCGGCAATGGAGGCGGTGGAGGAGGAGGACGAGGGCGAGCAACAAGACGAGGAGGGGGGATCTACCCTACATACCCTTCTCTCTTCCTTGCCGTCCCACCACCATCCTCCCCACACTCCTCCCCGCCGTCTCCTCGTTGCAGCAAGAAGGAGCGATCTGAGCCGGCAATGGAGGCGGTGGAGGAAGAGGACGAGGGCGAGCACAAGGCAAGGAGCGGAGGGGGGTCTGACTAACCATGACTCCCACCCTTTTCCCTCCACCCCTCTGCCCATCCGCACACGCACAGCAAGGAGCGCTCTGAGCCGGCAATGGAAGCAGTAGAGGAGGACGAGGGCGACCACAAGGCGAGGAGGGATGGGGGTTTGACTAACCATGACTCCCACCCTTTTCCCTCCACCCCCCTGCCCATCCGCACACGCACAGCAAGAAGGAGCGGTCGGAGCCGGCAATGGAAGCAGTGGAGGAGGAGGACGAGGGCGACCACAAGGCGAGGAAGGGGGATCTGTCCTTCATACCCTCCTCTCTTCCTTGCCTTCCCATCACCATCCTCCCCACACTCCCCGCCGTCTCCTCGTTGTAGCAAGAAGGAGCGTTCAGAGCCGGCAATGGAGGCGGTGGAGGAGGAGGACGAGGGCGACCACAAGGCGAGGAGGGGTCTGGACTTGGCGACCACGCTGGAGCGAATCCAGAAGAACTTTGTCATCACGGACCCGCGCCTGCCGGAGAATCCTATTGTGAGTTGATTGCTTGATGGGAGTGTTGTGAGAGGATGAAGGGGCTTTGAATAGGTGAAGAGCGGTGCAGTGAGTGAGGCGAGGAGGGGGCTCGACTTGGCGACCACGCTGGAGCGAATCCAAATGAACTTTGTCATCACGGACCCGCGCCTGCCGGAGAACCCCATCGTGAGTGCTGGTTTGATCGGTGTGGCTGTGGCTGGGACAGTTTGGGAAGGCTGGGATGATAACCCCATCGTGACCAAGTTTCAAAATGCCCTCATGAATGATCGCTCCTGTGGACCCATCTCTCTGACTGCTCCTCCCCGCCTGCCACACCCTCCCCGCCCTCCTCCTTCCTTCCCTCCTCCCCGTCCCCGCTCTCCTCCCCGTCCTCGCCCCCCTTCCAAACCTCCTCACCCTCCTCGCCCTCCTCACCCTCCCCGACCTCCCCGCCCTCATACCTCTCCCCACCCTGCCCACCTTGCCCTCTAACCTACCCTTTTCTCCGTCCTCACCTCGTCCTCTCGCCCTCGTCACCCCCTACCTCCCCTGCGTGGGCAGATCTTTGCGTCAGACGATTTCCTTGAGCTCACAGAGTACTCCCGAGAGGAGATTCTGGGGCGCAACTGCAGGTGAGGCCTGGGTTCAGGGTTTAAGGTTTGACGTCGGGCTTTGGGGTTGAAGTTCTAGTGGTGTTGGAGGAGAGGAGACTTTCATTAGGAGAGTTGTTTGAGCTGACAGAGGGACATTCTGGGGCGCCTGACAGACCGGCTTTTCTGTGTGACCTTGTTGTCTCATTGCGTGTGTGACGATGGCATGTGTGGTTTATTGCGTGTGTGACGATGGCATGTGTGGTTTATTGCGTGTGTGACGATGGCATGTGTGGTTTATTGCGTGTGTGACGATGGCATGAGTGGTTTATTGCTTGTTGCATGGCAGGTTCCTGCAAGGACCAGACACGGATCCCAAGACGGTGCAGAGGATTCGAGATGCGATCAAGAAGGAGGAGGATATCACGGTGCAACTGCTGAACTACACCAAGTCAGGTGAGTGCAGCGCAAGCACGTTGCACAATGTCAGGTCAGGTAGTAAATTCATCTGCCAGGATGCAATGCGATCAAGGAGGAGGATATCACGGTGCAGTTACTGAACTACACCAAGTCAGGTGAGTGGAATAGCAAGTGTCACGTGGAGTCAAGTATTTATGTGCCCCCCTCCCCCTTCCCCCCCCTTCTTTCCCACTCCCCCCCTCCCTTTCCCCCGCCCCGCTCCCGCTTTCTCTGTGTCTATTTTCCCCATCCCTTCTGATGCTCTGCTACCTTTGCATAGCTCCTCTTCCTACCCGTCTCACCACTCTCCCCGTCTCTCCTCCGTGTCTATCCATCCATGCCCCCTGCCTGCTGCGTTGCTGCTGCAGGCAAGCAGTTTTGGAATCTCTTCCATCTGCAGGCCGTGCGCGACAACAAGGTGCGTGGCGGTGCAAAGTGGTGCAGAGTGGTGTAGAGTGGTGCAAGTAGTGTAGAGTGTTGTGGGAAGTGTGGTTGTGTACGAGTGAGTTGGTATCTGTTCACATATGTTCCACCTATTTTCCCTCGTCTACCTCTGCTCACCTCTTGTCACCCCTCCACCTCTCCTCCGCAACAGGGCATGCTGCAGTACTTCATAGGAGTGTAGCTGGACTCATCCCAGTACGTGGACCCCTCAGTCCATGCAGGCAAACACCCCTTTTCATCCCTTTCCACCTCTTCTCAACTCTATTTACCGCCTTGCACCTCTTTTCACCGCAACAGGGCATGCTGCAGTACTTCATCGGGGTGCAGCTGGACGCCTCCCAGTACGTGGACCCCTCCATTCTCGGGCTGCAGGAGAAGCTTGCAACCGAGGGAGAGAAGATTGTGAGTGCCATGGGTTACCCCGATGCAGCATGTTACCGTGTTACCTTTCCTCCTCGCTTAACAAGAGGACCTTTTGCCTTCCTTCCACATGCCACTACTTTTTTTCCCTGAGGCTGATCCTCCCTTTTGCATGATCTTTTCTCTTTCGCTCACCTCAACAGGTGTTGGAAGCAGCCAACAATGTGGAGGGAGCAGTCAGGGAGCTTGCTGACCCTGGTGCTGTGAGTGCCCTCCACCTCTCCTCTCTTCTCTCCTTTCTCTCCTCTCCTCTCCTCTCCTCTCCTCGCCTCACCTCGCCTCCTCTACCTCCTCTCCTCTCCTCCCTCCTCCCTTCTCCCTCCTATTCCTTTGCTATCCTCCCTCTCCCTTCCCACTTCCTTTCCTCCATGGCTCCTTCTTCCACCTTCGCTCCCCTTCCCTTCCCTTCCCTTCCCCTCTTCCCTCCACCATTGCTCTCCTACCTCCCAACCCTCCGCCCCCCCACCCACCTCACTCCCTCCTCCCGCATTTCTTGCCCCACCCTGACCCCCTTTTTTGAAGTCTCTGCGTGGCTAAGAGAAATGAATGAAAGAACTCACCACAAGGTGAAAGAAATTACTGTGAGGTGAGGAAGGGACGAGGTGACGAGCCCAGCCCAGGGTGATGCGAACCCCACCTCGTCCTTTCCTTCCACCTGGCACACCCAAGCTGGTCCTTCTTTTCTTTCCTTCCTCCTGCCACACCTTCTGCTCCGTTCCTTTCCTTCTCGCTCTGCCTGTCCTCTGTGAATTGTGGGCCGCGCACACAGGCAGTCAAGTGGCAAGCCACTCACACGCCTGTCCTCTCCCGTCTCTCTTCTTCTCCCCACTTCCTTACTTTCTCAGGCCGCTGGCGACCTGTGGGCCGTGCACACGGCACCATTGGCAATCAAGCTGCAATCCCCTCACACGCCTGTCCTCTCCCTTGCTATCCGCCCTCCCCTTGCCTCCCCTTGCCTCCTATATCAGGCCGCTGGGGACCTATGGGCCGAGCACACGGCTCCAGTGGCCATCAAGCCGCACAAGACTGGTGACCCTGCATGGCAGGCCATTCAGGAGGTGAGCACTATATAAATGTATATGCAGTGTGTAGTAGTACATATATAGCATATGTATATATATATATATGTGTGTGTGTGTGTGTGTGTGTGTGTGTGTGCGTGTGTGTGTGTGCGTGTGTGTGTGTGTATTAAGCTTATGCTTGTGCTTGCGCTTGCTTGCTCTTGGGTTCCTGGAAACCGAGCTTCACTTTATGTCATGTGGGGTGTGTGCGTGCGTGGGTGCATGCATGCATGCATGCGTGCGTGTGCGTGTGTGTGTGTGGGTGCATGCTTGCCTTTATTTGCTTCCACCAGGTGATTAAGAAGGACGGAAAGCTCAGCCTGAAGCACTTCCGACCAATCAAGCCTCTGGGCGCTGGAGACACGGGCAGGTGAGCGGGCAGAGCTGGAACAAAGTCTGAAAGCAGTTTCAGTCCATGTGGTTGATATGGGAGACGCGGACAGGTGAGCGGGTAGCTGAAACAAAATCGGAAAGCAATTGGAGTACGTCTGGTCGAGGTGAGGAGAGGACAAGGAGATGATGATGGATGGGTGGGTGGGTGGATAGGACAGCATATATGTTGACTTTTGAGTCGTCTCAAAAGTCAACTAGCAATTGCAGTACGTCTGGTCGAGGTGAGGACAAGGAGATGATGATGGATGGGTGGATAGGACAGCATATATGATGCTCACTTGCCCTCTCACCCCTGCCGGCCCTTGGCACCTACCAGTGTGCATCTGGTCGAGTTGAGGGGCACGACCCGCCTGTTCGCCATGAAGGCGATGGACAAGGAGGTGATGGTCAACCGTAACAAGCCCACCTATGCTTGCACCCCTTTTCCCCCCTGCCCCTTGTCTGTCACTCCCTGTCACCAGTGTCCATCTTGTGGAGCTGAGGGACACGACCCGCCTGTTTGCGATAAAGGCGATGGACAAGGAGGTCATGGTGAACCGCCCACCCTTACCCATGCTTGCACCCCTCTCTCTGTACGCTACCCTCCGTCCCCTCCCTCCCTGTCACCAGCGTGCACCTTGTCGAGCTGAGGGACACGACGCGCCTCTTCGCAATGAAGGCGATGGACAAGGAGGTGATGGTCAACCGCAACAAGGTGCACCGCGCCTGCACCGAGCGGGACATTCTTGGGAAGATCGACTTCCCCTTCCTGCCCACGCTCTACGCCTCCTTCCAGGTGCGCCGTGCCTCCTTCCAGGTGCGCCGTGCCTCCTTCCAGGTGCGCCCTGCCTCCTTCCAAGTGCGCCCTGCCTCCTTCCAGGTGCGCCCTGCCTCCTTCCAAGTGCGCCCTGCCTCCTTCCAGGTGCGCCCTGCCTCCTTTCAGGTGCGCCCTGCCTCCTTCCAGGTGCCACCTGGCTCCTTCCCAGTGCGCCCTGCACTAGATAGTGCCTCCACCGCTTCAGCAACAGGTATTGCCTACACCAGGTGGCACCTGGTATTATCAAAAACACCCTTGCTGTTTTTTCCTCTCCCCCTTGTGTGTCTGATCACGGAGTTGTGCGCAGGGGGCGAACTTTGCGGCATTGTGGAGAAGAAGGGATGTTCTGATCCCCTTTTGCTCTTGCTCCCCTTGCCCTTTCCTCTGTGCCCCCTCAGACCGCCATGCACGTTTGTCTCATCACGGAGTTCTGTGCGAGCGGCGAGCTGTACGGCATTTTGGAGAAGCAGAAGGGGCTGTTGTGATACCCTCTAGCCTCCTTCCCCTCACAACGAGTCTCCGTTCACACCCCAACTCTCCTTTCCTTCCTCTCCCTCTCAGACCGCCACGCACGTGTGTCTCATCACGGAGGTGGCGAGCTGTACGGCATTCTGGAGAAGCAGAGGAGGTTTGCTGTGATACGCCTATATCTAGCTAGTTTCTGAACTCCTTTCCCCCCACTCCCCGTACCTCCTCCACCAGACCGCCACGCACGTGTGCCTCATCACGGAGTTCTGCGCGGGGGGCGAGCTGTACGGCATTCTGGAGAAGCAGAAGGGAAAGCGCCTGCCTGAGGCTGCTGCGCGTTTCTTCGTTGCTGAAGTGCTGCTGGCGCTGGAGTACCTGCACTGCCAAGGTGGGTGGGTGGGAGAGGGGGTTGAGGGTGGTGGTATGTAGCACGCTGTGGTGTATGCCACGAGTGTCTCAGGCTGCTGCACGCTTCTTTGTGGCGGAGGTGCTGCTGGCGCTGGAGTACCTGCACTGCCAAGGTGGGCGGGTGGGATCATGTGTGTGTAGCATGTGCCACGTGACATGCATGGGGTACAGGTGTGTCAATCAGAGGTGCTGCTGGCGCTTGAGTACCTGCACTGCCAAGGTGGGCGGGTGGGCATATCGTGTGTGTGTAGCATGCTGTGTTACATGGTTTAGGGTTTAGCATGTGGTATGGGATGGGTGAGAGTGCTCCCAGTCTGTTGTGCTCTCTTGGTGCGACTTTTGAGAATTCTCAAAAGTTGCACCAATATTGCTGTGTTATATGGTTAAGGGTTTAGCATGTGGTATGGGATGGGTGAGAGTGCTCCCAGCCTGTTGTGCTCTCAGTCAAGCCATGCCATGCTGATCGACTGAGACTCCAAACCATAGGCTTGATTACAAACCCTGTGCCTTCGATATTCTGATATCCATTCCAGGAGTGGTGTACCGTGATCTGAAGCCCGAGAACGTGCTGGTGCAGGAGTCAGACCATGCCATGCTCACTGATTCCGATCCTCAATCGTATCCTTGAACCCCTAACCCTGTACCTTCATCCCATCCCACACACTTGTTGTGCTCCACAGGAGTGGTGTACCGTGACTTGAAGCCAGAGAACGTGCTGGTGCAGGAGTCAGGCCATGCCATGCTCACCGATTTCGATCTCTCCTTCAGCACCGAGTGCAATCCTAAGGTTCGTGATGCTCCTGCCTGGGTTGACTCTGTTGACCCGCATTGACTTTATTGACTGGCGTTGACCTCTCCTTCAGCACCGAGTGCAATCCTAAGGTTCGTGATGCTCCTGCCTGCCTGCGTTGACTCTGTTGACCAGCGGTGACTTGATCGACTGGCGTTGACCTCTCGTGAACCACGGAGTGCAAACCCAAGGTACGAAATGGGTGAAATTGGGAGGAAATGGGTCAAACAGCCCTTTTTACCCAACATCTGTATCCAATTTCACCGCTTTGCACCCCGTCCAACCCCACCCACCTCTCTCTGGCAGCTCGAGTTTCCCCCCGTGCCGCCTGATTTTGAGAAGCGCAAGCAGGCGGCGCAGGTGGGGTGTGGCGGCGCCACCAAGGGCCCGTCCCCTTCCGAGCTGGAGCTGGAGCTGCTGCCCGTGCTGGTGGCCGAGCCAGAGGCAGGGCACTGGCAACAGCAACAAATTCTCTAACAGCTGCTTTTTACCCAACTCCTGTACCCAATTTCACCGCTTTGCACCCCGTCCAACCCCACTCTCCTTTCCACCAGCTGGAGTTCCCCCCAGTGCCCCCGGATTTTGAGAAGCGCAAGAAGAAAGCCGCCCAGGTGGGGTGTTGCGGCGCCACCAAGGGCCCATCTCCTTCCGAGCTGGAGCTGCTGCCCGTGCTCGTGGCCGAGCCAGAGGCAGGACACTGGTAACAGCAACTCTTATCAGCCCCTTTTCACGCAAGTCCTGTACCCATTTTCACCCATTATCACTCCCTTTCACCCTGTTCAACCCCACCCAGCTGGAGTTCCCTCCGGTGCCCCCAGATTTCGAGAAGCGCAAGAAGAAGGCGGCGCAGGTGGGGTGTGGCGGCGCCACCAAGGGCCCGTCTCCTACCGAGCTGGAGCTGGAGCTGCTGCCCGTGCTCGTGGCCGAACCAGAGGCCACTAGCAACAGCTTTGTGGGCACGGAGGAGTATATCGCCCCGGAGATCATCAGCGGTACGGGGCACAGCAGCCCCGTCGACTGGTGGACGTTTGGTGAGTGGACCTTGCCCATGCGCTTGTGGGTGAGCTGAGCCTGACTGGTGGGCTTTAACTAGTGTTTGGCAGTGGGATGAGGATGTGGGCCAAGCCAAATGGGAGCCAGAGGCGACAAGCAGCAGCTCTGTAAGTTTTTATAATTCCAAGCTTTGAGACGTTGCAAATCTCGATCATCATCAAATCCTTTCAATCCATTGACTCGTTCCCTCAATGCACCCCGCTCTCCCCTTTCCAGGAATCTTCCTGTACGAGCTGCTGTACGGTCGCAGCCCCTTCCGTGGGCGCAACCGCCAGCGCACCTTCACCAACGTGCTCACCAAGGACCTCGCCTTCCCTGCTAACCCCCCGGTGAGTTAACAGTCACCTTGGTAAGTTGGAATTGAAGAGCAGCCAACCGCCAGCGCACCTTCACCAATGTGCTCACTAAGGACCTCGCCTTCCCTGCTAACCCCCCGGTGAGTTAACAGTCACCTTGGTAAGTTGGAATTGAAGAGCAGCCAACCGCCAGCGCACCTTCACCAACGTGCTCACCAAGGACCTTGCGCGTTTCCTGCCAACCTGCCGGTACGTTTCTGTTTCAACACTTGTCTGTGTCATGTTAACCAACAATCACTGTGGCCAGCACACCTCGCCAGCGCACCTTCACCAATGTGCTCACTAAGGACCTCGCATTCCCCACTAACCCGCCGGTACGTATGTGTTTCAACACTTGTCTCTGTTGACCAATGATCACTGGTCAGCGCACCTTCACCAACGTGCTCACCAAGGACCTCGCCTTCCCTGCTAACCCCCTGGTACGTTTCTGTTTCAACACTTGTCTGTGTCAACCAACAATCACTGTGGCCAGCACACCTCGCCAGCGCACCTCGCCAGCGCACCTTCACCGACGTGCCCGCCAAGGACCTCTCCTTCCCTGCTGTAACCCCCTGGACAGTTGGCTCCGTGAGTTGCTTCCCAACCTTCTCCCAAATGAAGCCCATTCCGCCCCTCCCCCCTCCACTCCTTGCCCCACTGTCTTCAGGTGTCAGACGAGGCCAAGGATCTGATGCGCAAGCTGCTGCAGAGGGATAGGGTTACCCATCAGCTCATCAAACAATCCCCTCCTTCCCCCGCCCTTACCCTGTTATTGCCCCTCAACAACAGGTGTCAGACGAGGCCAAGGACCTGATGCGCAAGCTGCTGCAGAGGGACCCGGCGGACCGCCTGGGGGCGAAGCACGGTGCCATTGAGATCCGATCACACCCCTTCTTCAAGTCCATTGAGTGGCCTCTCATTCGTGACATGGTCAGTATGAGCTCTCTTAACTCACTCTCCCTCACACTCCCTCACACTCACACACTTGCTCTCACCCAAGCCCCCTCGCGCACAATGCAATCGAGATTTGAGCACACCCTTCTTCAAGTCTATTGAGCAGCCTATCATTCACAATGTGGTCAGTATGCTATGTGCACATTCTCACACCACACCCTCACACTAAACTCTCACACAGTGCTGCTGAGATTCGAAGGTGAAGGTGAGCCTAGAAGGGACATGCTTCCCCCTCTCTCTTACTCATACGTTTCCACTCTCCCTTGTAACTTTGTTCACTTCTATTGCTCCTGTGAGCAGAAGCCCCCACAGCTGGATGTGCCAGTAAAGGCAATCTCAGCAGAGGCAGAGGAAGGCCGACCGTCGACAGCAGAGGAGGAGATGGACTGGGATGAGAACGAGGCCAGGCCGTCCACTTCGCTTGACTACGGCTACTGACCTGGAGAGCAAGTTGGAGCATGGAAATAAATTGGAAGTAGATATTTGGATGTGTTAATTATGTGTGTTATATTTAGAATGTGTGACTGCACTGTGTTTAATTTAGGGGAAGTGTTACGGGTGCAATGAATCGAGGTAGCGAGGATTGCACTAGAGTGTTCAATGAGTACAAAATATGAGCAAAGGCATGAGCGAATACTTATACGCAAAAATGTGCAAACGGTAATGCGGTGCGTGCGGGCTAGCTAGTGCTACGTTGGCGGGAGGTACAGGAGGTAACTGGGCCAGCTTTGTTTCTTCCAGTAGTTCGCGAAGGTACAGTCCTTCCTTGGTGGCTGAGCAGAGTGCTATATATTCGGCTTCAGCAGAGGAGAGTGAAATTAGTTCTTGTTTGCTTGACTGCCATGAGATAGGTCCGACGGGCTCAAGTCGATAGATGTAGCTGGTGCGCGATCGCCTGTTGTCAAAGTCGCCTGCGTGGTTAGCGTCCACGTAGCCGATTAGCTTTGGAGTAGTGGCTCCAGTCTTGTGTTAGGTTAGGCCGATCGTTGGCGCGCTGACGAGGTGGTGTAAGGCGCGGTCGAGTTCGGCGATATGCTCTGCTTCGGGCCGCTTGAGGTGGGTAGCAAGCTGACTCGCTGAGTATGATAGATCCGGTCAGCAGGTGACGGTTGCCAAGAGTAGACAACCCAGTTTTCGTTGGTAGTCGCGTAGGCCGGCAATTCCAAGCATGTTGGATTTTTCCTGGTGATTTCCCGCAGTGTAGCGGTAGGGCGTGGAAATGGAGGCTGGCGTCAGTCCGAAGCGTTTTGCGATGGTGTCGGCGTATTTTGCGGCGCTGAGGTAGATCGCGTTCTCTCCGTCTAGAATGTTAAGTCCAAGGTACTGGGTCACGGTAGAGGAAACCGTGAGTGAGAGATCCTGTTGCAGCTCCCCTTCAAACCAGTTGGTGATGCCATCGGTGGAGCCTATGTACAGTAGGTCGTCTACATACATGATGAGTAGAATGTACTCGGCTTCCTTTGTGAGTCTGTACATGCCTTGGTCGTGTGGTAATTGCTGAAAGCCTTTGCGGATTAGTCGAGCGTGTAGGTACTGCTGCCACAACCGCGGAGCTTGTTTGATGCTATACAAGGATTTTACCAGCTGACAGACTTGATTGGGGTCTGTGCTGGATCCGTGTGGTTGCTCGACGAAGATTTCGGCGTCGACGGGAGCGTAGAGGAACGCGATGGCTACGTCAATTTGGCAGAGCTTCTTCTGCTTCATGGTGGCTATTGCGAGGAGAATTCGCAAGGAGGTATGTCAGCCGACTGGCGCAAAATTCTCGGTGAAGTCTCGCCCGTGCTCTTGATCGAAGCCACGCACAACCCATCGCGCTTTGAATTTGTCAATTGTCCCGTCAGATTTTGTTTTCATGCGGAAGACCCACTTTCCCATGAGAATGGTTTTGTTGTGTGCCACTCCGATGGGTACTATCTTCCAGGTGTTTCGGTCTTCCAGCGCTTTTAAATCCCTGTCCATGGCTTCGCGCCATTTTTCCTTGTGCTCCCCCCCCAGAGCCTGCTGAACCGTAGCAGGCTCTCTCGGCAGTGGTGCGCCATGGACTGTGGTGAAGAGTCCAAGAATCTGCAGCCCACTCTGTGTGTAGCGAGGAAGATTTGGGTCATCGGGATAAACTGCTTCGTCCCCCACTTCTGGATCAGGTAAGAAGTTGGGGCCTATGCGTTCTGAAACGTTTGTGTTGACCGGCTATGGTGTAACGTAAACGTTGTCGGCGAAGTCGTAGTAGACTTCAGCGTTGATGCTTTCGCGAGGATTTTTGTCGTCCATCGGAATGGGTACCGAACAGTAGAGAAGAGGTCCGGCTTCCTCGGATGCTCCGTCCACATTTTTTTCATCCCAGTCAGCTTCATCTGCTGGCGAGGCGAAGGCTCGGTTGCCTCGGAAGCCGCCCGTGAGGTCTCGTTCTGCTGCCAAGTTATCCAGGTACGTTTGGAGAGTGAGTCGCTCGTAGACGTCACGTGCTGCTACTGTTTCCTTCGAGTGGACGTCGAAAATCTTCCACGCGTTGTCATGTTTTTCGATGCCCAGGTGTAGTCCCCACTTTGCGCGTTGTGAGAATCGTCCAGCTCGTGCAGTGTGTGCTCGGTACTTGTCGAAATAATGAATGAATGAACGAGAATGAATGAACTAGCAAAGAGTTGGGTACACGTACTAACCCTAATTCGGTTGTACCCCTAATGGGCTACCCCACTACAACCTACACAATGTAAGCTATATATAAGTTTGACACACCCCCATAGGCAAAGTGGGGAAGAACAAGTGGTCACAAGACCAGTCAAGAAAAGCAAAGCAAGCTCAGGGTGGATCACAAAGTCATCACACAGTCCGAGCACAATCAAAGGGCCACAAGGCCAGTTCAAATGCCGAGTTATATAAAAGAGAACAAACAATACAATGATCATACCCTAGCAAGTGCAAGCATGCACGTATATGTAAAGATCACAGTACAAGCAAAGTCACGCAGTAAGCAAGTGAGGTATGTTAGAATGTGAGCGAATGAATGAAACAGAGAAGAGGGGTTTCACTAGCAAGCAGTTGAGTACATATAGCAAACCCTAGATTGGGCTGTACTCACTATTGAGTACCCCACTGAAGGCTAGACAAACATAACATTCTGACACACCCCCATAGCCAAAGCGGGGTGTAATCAGCACAACAAGCAAAGTAAAGCAAAAACAAGCTCAGGGTGGATCACAATGTCACCACACATTCTGAGCACAAGTACAAGAAGCAACAGTTTATAGTTCACAACAATAAGTAAAGCTAGGGGCTATCACGGAGGGCAAATGAGGAGGAGGAGGCTGGACTGATAGGAAAGGAGAGAGGAGGCAACGGCTGAAGCTGCAGACACACGGGCAACAGGAGCGGCGCACACTGTGGCTACCGGAGGCGCACCTCCGGACTACAGGAGTAACTGGCTCCGCGGCTAAGACGAGCGGCAGGAGCAACGGACCCACGGGCGACTGGCGCAGCAGGCTCGCTGGGCTACCGGAGGCGCACCTCCGGACTACTGGCACTGCTGGCAACACGACGGCTACTTCCCTTCAACCTCCCCCACTGTCGCACCCCCCTTTCACACACCCCCTGCTGCACCCCTAGTTTCACTCCCACACGACACACCCCCCTAGTACCACTCCGTCATCTCCCACACACCCACCCCCCTCAGCGGCAGCTGCAGCAGTGGGAGATGGAGGAGGAGGAGGAGGGGACAGGAGGCGGCACGCGGGCTGCAGAAGGGGCAGCGCGGGCCCCCAAGGGCGTCACAGCGGGCGACGGCACGGGTGGGGGGGGGGGGGCGCGCGCTGGCCCCGAGGGCGCCACGACAGGCGTCAGGAGGGGGGGGGGGGGGGGCGCGCGCTGGCCCCCAATGGCGCCATGACGGGCGATAGGGATGGGGGCCGCGCGGGCCCCCGAGGGCGCCACGGCGGGCGTCAGGAGGGGGCCGCGCGCGGGCCCCCGAGGGCGCCACTGCGGGCGTCAGGAGGGGGCCGCGCGCGGGCCCCCGAAGGCGCCTCGACGGGCGACGAGAGGTGGTCGTGCGCGGGCCCCCAAGGGCGCCACGTCGGGCGACGGAAGGGGGGGCCGCGCGGGCCCCCGATGGCGCCACGACGGGCGACGGGAGGGCCGCGCACGAGCCCCCCGGGGTGACGAAACCGCCGTGCGCCCCGGGGCGCGCGACGGGCAGGGTACCGTCGCGCGCCACGGGGGGCACGACGAGCAGATCAGGGCATCGCGCTGCCCCTAGGGCGGCGCGACGGGCAGAAAACCGCGCGGCGGGATGAAAAATTGCCGCGCGCCATGGGCGTACGGCAAGCAGAAAGACAGCGCGCGCCCGAGGCGCGTGATAGGCAGTGATGACAGCGGAAGCTTTGATAGGCCCATGCACAGGATCGACCCAGGAGGGTCGACCCGCTTTGATAGCATGTTAGAATGTGAGCGAATGAATGAAACAGAGAAGAGGGGTTTCACTAGCAAGCAGTTGAGTACATATAGCAAACCCTAGATTGGGCTGTACTCACTATTGAGTACCCCACTGCAGGCTAGACAAACATAACATTCTGACAAGGTAAAGTAGGCACAAGGCCTAACACAGTAGAGAAGCGCTGATGATCACCAGGCGGAAGTGCCTTGGTGAATATATCAGCAGTGTTGGCCCTAGTGGCCACGTACGCAAGACGAAGCTGGCCACGCTGCTGCAACTCTCGAGCAAGGAAGTATCGCAGAGCGATGTGCTTTGTTCTGTGCTCCAGTCTGTGCTCCTGACACAAGGCAATCATGGCCTTGTTGTCTACGTATAGAACTGGAGGCGAACGAGGCTGCTCTCCCAAGTCAGTCAACAGGTAGGTGAGCCAGCGTAGCTCCTGTGCAGCCATGGCCCCGGCGTAGATCTCAGCCTCACAACTGGAGGTGAGAACCAAAGACGAGCGGGTAGACCGCTAGGAAATAGAGCTAGAGCCAAGGCTGAAGGTGACGACCGCTGCGACGACCGATGCGTAGCTGAGTCGTCAACCCAAGAAGCGTTTGCGTGACCGGTGAGGACAACTGGACCCCGTCCTCCAAGCACAAGCCCCATGCCCGACGTACTGCAAAAGTAACGCAGTACCCTCTTTGCAGCATCCCAGTGCACCTTTCGGTGCCTACCGGGAGCCACGTAGCGAGCCAGGAGGCTAAGAGGGTACACGAGGTCAGGTCGTGTGCACGTCATCAGGTACATGAGGCAACCCACAAGCTCTGGGTACGGACCACTCGGCTCTACGAACTCGTCCGAAGGTGGAGCTGAAAGCGAGTGGATGGTAGATAGAGGAGTGGGCTGTGGCGAGGAGAACTGGAAGCCGAAGCGCTGAAGGACCTGGTGCACCATGTGTGACCGAGTCAGGGTGATGGTGCGCCGTGCTCTGTCCCGGGTGATTTGCAAGCCAAGATGGTCGCGCAGT